CTTTTCACTCTAACAAGCTCTGGACTCCCGTCACAAACAAAGCCTATTGTCTGAGCGTGGGGGTGGTGGTGAGGGGGGGGTCCCAGTGGTAGCAGGGGAGCTGTTTAGGCAGCTTTTACACGGCTGACCTGCATATTGCTCCCAGAGGGCCGCGGAGGACAGATTAAGCGGAGCTCCTCCAGCCCGGGCCGACAGATGCATTCTCCCTCCACAGAGACACAGCGCAGTTTCTCAAGTGCTGATACTAATCGGATTTTGGATGACATATTGCTGGGGTGAAGTGGATTGTCATGGTTCAGTGGGAGGGAGAAAGGGGGGGGTCTGGTTGGACTGGTTGCGGAGGGCTGGTGGTGTTGGGGTAGTGGGCGCTGGTGGCCACCAGCATAAACAGGAGACCGGTTAAAGGGAAAACTGTGTAACCGATGATATCTTGCACACCAAACACATTTTTCTTTCAAACTTTCACAGGCGGTACAAACTCTCTGACCAATCACGGACATCTCTGGCGTTCTCATGGCGACAACCAAGCTGCCATCCCAACAGCTGGAACTTTTTCACAAATGTCGAAAGAACTGGAATCTCGGCTCAAACTGGGTTATAAACATCCGAGTTATTCCTGGAAGCTCTCGTAAAGTTTGAGTTTTGAATGAAGCGATGAGCTTTTCCAGAATATAAAGTAGCCCAGTGTCACCGTTTGCTCGTATTGTGAGGATCACATTTGCACTCAAAGACGTTCGGCAGGCATCTTTAAAAGCAGCTCTAACTGCATTACAGAGATCCGTGCAAAAGAGCTCAAAGTTTCAGCTCCTGGATGAGGCGGAGAAACTCAGTGCACTGCAAAAAATAGTATCTTGTCAAGTGAATTGATCTTAAATCCAGTCAGTATATAAAATGTCTCATGTTGAGACAGTTGAGAGCTTATTATAAGGTTATTTTACTTATTTCTAGACTTGTTTTAGGTGATTTTACCAAGGAAAATGATCTCACTATATTGGCAGATCATGTAGAAATATGACATGAAGAAATGTGTGAAATGCTGCAATATGTTATTTTTGATAAAATTACTTAAAGTGAGGTAAAGATGTCTAAAAGTAAGTTGAAAACAACTCTATTTTTATCAACTCTAAATACGTTGACTGGGTTTAAGATATTTTCACTTAAGATATCATTTTTTGCAATGTGTTCTGCTTTTTACAAAGTGGAAAACGTCCTGCACAGCGTCACAGTTTGTCCATTTGTGGGAAGCAGATGATCTCTTTTTGATAGATATTGTTTTTTTTCCACAGCCACATTGCAAAAAAAAAAGCAAAATCGAAAAAACAAATCCAAATATTTTTCATTTGCATATTGTTTATTTGCGTCGTGTTGGATGTGGGACGACCATAAATCTGCTTTTTTATGATCTGTGTGGTTCTTCAGTGTTTTGAAAGTGCTAACAAGCCCATCAGGTTGAAAGTTACTGTGAAAGTTATCACAATAGTGAGAACGTATCATCTTATCGTGCGGCCCCAGATTAAGGGGTTAAGGTGAGGCTGTGTTGGGGTGAACAGATTGACTAAGCTGATGAATTGAAATGGGCTGATATTTGCGGTTCTGCGTTCTGAGCAAAGGCGTGTGCTTTGATTAAATTCCAGTGTGACGCAGAGACGCGGCCTTAGAACAAAGCCTTTTGTCTGCCGTATCCTATTTGATCCTCCGCTGCACCCTGAAGGCCGCTGATGAGCTTTTGTCCGTGGCTAGAGACCTGACCATCGGCCAGAATGCCGCAGACGCAGGGAGACGCGTGTCCTGTTGCCCTGATTGACTTCTCGCCTCCATGAACGCGCAGCCTGTGGTGTCGGTGTATGTGGGGGGGGGTTATGGTGGTGGGGGGGGGGTTGTGGTGGGGGGGGTGTTGAGGTTAAGTAAATCTCTGCAGAGCCTTTTTAAGTGAGCTGCTGGAATGGCGATCCTGTTAGTGCTGATGAACAGAAGCAGATGGCTGCCGCTAAATTGAAAAGACTCGGCAGCACAAATCAACCAAACGCACCTCTGGGAGCCATCCCCCCACCCCACCACCACCCCATCTCCACCCCATCTCCACCCTCCGTACAACAGAAGTGGAAAGGAAAAGCGAGGTCGTTAGCATAGATGCTAATCTAGGATCATGGAATCCGTCCACTGCTTTTCAAAAGTTTGGGTACAAAACGTTTTCAATCTAAATGGTCGTGTTTTCTTTGTTGATTTGCAGTAACTGACCCTATTCAGGAGCTCATTCTGCATTTTGGCTTTTTTTTTTCTTTCTCTTTTTCCTCCGAGGTCCTCTTTTAATATACCTGTGTTACATTTGTGGTTTTACGTATCAGAAACAGTCATAATTTGGTAACACATGACCATTTTCTGAACTCTCGTTATCCCTTAGAATTAATCTGTTAAGGCTGTTTTTGTTATTTTACCTTTAAGACTGATAAGTAAATGAGCTCTGCTCTGATTGGCTGTGCCTCATTCAGGAAGCAATCGGCCTGAAACACCCCTTATAACTTTAGTGTGAGTGGCCGGGCTTAAACTGACGTAGACCAAGTGGATATATGTAACCAAACCTCACAAAACATATTAATAACTTCACTGAACAAAACACATTTTTATATATATTTAACTGTGTTGAACAGTAAAACCTAAGAATATACATGTATATGTATGAGTATGTATACATTGTGTGTGTGTATGTATGTATGTATGTATATATATATATATGTGTGTGTGTGTGTGTGTGTGTGTGTGTGTGTGTGTGTGTGTATGTATATATATATATATATATGTGTGTGTGTGTGTGTATATGTATATGTGTGTGTGTGTGTGTATATGTATATGTATATGTGTGTGTGTGTGTGTGGAACAATATAAAACCAATTTAATTGCAAATAAATGTATAAAATGATTTTAATCTGCTTGCCAAGGACATCTTTCAGATAATCTGTACAAAGCTGTAAATAAAATGTGAGATGTGTCCAGAATAATGGACAGAGCTGTAGAAGATATAAACAATCACAATATACTATAGACTATAGACTACAGAACCTGTAGTAAAATTACATATTCAGAATTCATCGTATTTCAGAATTGAAGATCAAATCTTAAGACAGATAACTTGACAAGACAAATAATGTAAGCAGACAAAAACCATATATTATTTAACATTTAATAAAATCCGGATCACAGAGTTCTTGTAATATTGATTATAATTAAAATTGTAATAATCAGAATCAGAATCAAGCTTTACTGGCCAGGTATACTTACACATACAAGGAATTTGGTTTAGATTACATGAGCCCACAGTGCACAGTATCTGACAGACATTTACATGTTGTAAATAAAATAAACCATTCCTACCATCACTCACACACGCACACACACGCACACACGCACACATACACACATACACACATACAGTCATACCTGTAAACCTTACATTGTGCAAAGTCTGTGTTATTAATACAACCCATAATAATATAAACGTGTATATTAATATAAATCATTCAAAATACCTTTTGGCAAATATATATATATATATATATATATATATATATATATATATATATATATATATATATATATATATATATATATATCTTGTCGCTGTCCAAAGAAAACCATGTATCTCTCTGTTTTTGTTGATTTTTAATTTTCTACATAATTTCAACAAACCAGCTGTCCTTTGCATTGTGTAAAAAATTTATGATGCATGGACCAATAGAAATGCTTCAAAATCACTTGGAAGAAAATCTCTTTACATTGACATACATTGAAAGGTAAGAGTGTTTTTGCCCTCTCCTGTAAAGTTACTATTTTGGAGATAATTATTTTTCTTTGGACAGCGAAGAGAGGCGTGTGTGTGTGTGTGTGTGTGTGTGTGTGTGTATATATATATATATATATATATATATATATATATATATATATATATATATATATATATATATATGTGTATATGTATGTATGTAAGTGTATATATATATATATGTATGTGTATGTGTGTGAGTGTGTGTGTGTGTGTGTGTGTGTGTGTGTATATATATATATACACACACACATACACAATGTGTGTGTGTGTAATACAGTATTAATATTAATGAATGTTTTATGCTAACATGTTTGCACACATCTGCAGGTATTTTTCTCTCTTAATTGAAAATCAAATGTTACTCAAAGTTTCAAAGAAAAGAAAAGTGTCCCTCAAACCGCTGATGGATGCGTGCATACACACTCTGGGGTGATGGAGAATACAGTGTGTGTGATTGGTGTAGGACTGTTCAGTAGGTGTGCACTCTGTTGTGGCAACAGGAGTAACTGAAAGCTCCTCTTCCATTCAGACTCTGTTTACTGACTGACTTCAAACAGTTATTTTATCTCCATAGCAGCGTTCTGCTGTGTGGAGTGCAGGGATTAGACTCTGACTGCTCTCCTCTCAACCTCAGCTCGTCTACATGTCTGACTGAGGAGGTGCTTTACTTCACCGCTGCCTGCAGTCTCATTTATCCAGAGTGGAGCCAGAAAACTGTGAATTTCTCCTTATTTCCAAGAATCTTTACCTCCATGTGACTAATATAAGACCAAATCAGTTGCAAATAAATGCATAAAATTATTGTAATCTGCTCATCCTGAAAAGCTTCACAGGTTTCAGATGATTTTTGTATTTTTTTTCTACATAATTTGAAAATATTTTCTCAGTACGTCAAACTTTCATGATGACTGGAGCCATAAAAATTGCTCCAAAAAGATTTGGAAAAATGTTTCTTTTCCATTGATCTACTTTCAGAGTTAAAAAGGTTCTTTTCCTTCTCTTGCAAAGTTGCCATTTAACAGATACGAGGTTTTTTCTCAGTGTTTAATCTCTTTAAACTGCTCAGCGTCTGTTTTAAATGCTGTTGATGAAAACTTGTTCTCAGTTTTAAGGTGTTGAGTTTGCAGATAAAGCTTCAGCTGACAGGCGACTTATCATGATCAATGATCTGTGTTGTCAGTATTTTCCAGGCAGGCCTGCAGTGAGAGGTGCTTTGAAGGCCGTGGATAACTGGCTACAAGATCAGAAGGAAACACAAATCTCATACGATGACTTCAGAACAGAACTGGACAGCACAGTACTGGTGAGAACAGAGCAGCTCTTTACCAACACCTCTATCCCAATACACACCGTGCAGCTCTATACCAATATCCTAATACTCTTAACAGTTCTATCCCAGTGCTCGTCCATAGCTCCAAAACTCATCATACAGCTCTATTCAAATACTCAACCAACAGCTCTGTCCCTGCACTCAAGCAACAGCTCTATCCCAGTACTTTACCAGCAGCTGTATCCTAATACCTGTCCGAACAGCTCTGTCCTTGTACTTGACCAACAGCTCTATTCCAATAATTGTCCAACAGCTCTATCCTTGTACTCACTCAACAGCTCTATTCCAATACTCACCCAGCAGCTCTATTCCAATACTCACCCAGCAGCTCTATTCCAGTACTCACCCAGCAGCTTTATCCTTGTACTCACCCAGCAGCTCTATTTCAATAATTATCTAACAGCTCTATCCCTGAACCGCCCCTGGAGCTCTACATCATTACTCAACCAACAGCCCTATCTCTGTACTCACCCAGCAGCTCTATTCCAATACTCAGCCAGCAGCTCTATTCCAATGCTCACCCAGCAGCTCTGTTCCAATACTCACCCAGCAGCTCTATTCCAAAACTTACCCATCAGCTTTATTCTAATACTCACCCATCAGTTATATCCCTGTACTTGCCCATCAGCTCTAATCCAAAGCTTAACTAACAGCTCTGTTCCAGTACTCACCCAACAGCTTTATCCCAATATTTGTCCAACGGCTGTATTCCAGTATACATCTAACACATTTCCCAATACTCATCCAGCAGCTCTATACCAGTACTCATCCTACAGTTTATCCCAATACACAACCAGCAACCATAGGGCAATACCAATATCCATGTAGTGGCTCCATTCCAAGACATCCCAACAGCTCTGTTCCAGTACTAAACCAGTGTCCTAATACCTCCTATACCAATGGCACTGTTGCAGTTTTCCGTCAGCGCCTGTTTTCCTCTGTAGGAATTCTCCTTTTGTCATTTAGTCTTTTATTGTATGTTAAAGTGCTTCTGTTTGGGTTTTTATCCAGTCTAACCGTTTTTAAAGTGTGATACTCTGATTTATAGTTTAGTGCTAAAACAGTGTCGACAAACTCTCACACTGCAGTGTTTGAATGTGAAAAGCTCTGCTGTTTTATTTTGAGGGTGGTTTTCTAATATCACAATCAGATCTGCTGAGACTGTTTACCTTCTATATGATATAATCGAACAACAAACCCACATGACCACACACACGCACACACACACACACACACACACACACACACACACACACACTCCTTACACACACTGAATGGAGTGGTCACTTACAGAGATCATTAGCTTTTAGTCAGCCAATCAATGAATCAATGGCTGAGTGGGGCTGCATGATGAAGTCCAGTCAGGAAACGGACTGATGCTTCCAATACACAGTCCAGCTCCAGCCAATCAGCTGCCGGTTCCTCCGCTGCTCCCCGCGGACCGTAGTGCCTACAGTGACTAAATTAATTAGTGGGGAGCGGCGAAAGACGTGAGCGTATTTAAACATTGCAGAGAAAGAAGCAGCGCTGATGATGGTGGGTAGGTTCTCTCTCTAAGACCATGAGGACGTTTTACAGGTGGGGTCCTGTCCCCTTTAAACTGGACTGTGTTTAAGTGATCTATGTTTGCTTCATTTAAGCATTGATTGAAAAGCAGGTTGATCGACTCTAGTGACCTGTGAGGACGTGGTCCATTTAGATGTGCATGTCTGTGTGTTTTAGAGCGGTGAGGGGGTCCTCCCTGCAGGTGTGAGGTGGGTTGGTTGTCAGGGGTCTCGGCCGCAGTTTCGTGGCTATCCCTGCGCCGTCTGGACACTCTTCCACGTGCTGACTGTAGAGGCCAGCACCTCGGGAAGCACAGGTACTCTCTCACTGCTGTAACTAAAGCCTGGGCCTTTAAAGCTGCACTATGTAAGTTGTGGGAATTTGGAGACCTCTCTGGTGGAAATGTGTAATTGCATGCAACTCCCAGAAGGATATTTTGTAATATCAGTTGTGTTTACTGTTAAACTAAATTGAAATTAATTACAATTGTACAGTTGTAATTGCAATTAATGGTAATAAAGTTAGCAAGGAAGCATTATTAAAGATATATTTGCATTAATGAAGTGAAAAACATTCACTTTTCAATGCAAAACTAATTCTAATAATTAGTCGCCAACTTGATTAATGCTAACTTACTAGCTTTCTTAATGGTAACAAACAAGCTTTATTAATGCTAACTGATTTTTGTTTCTTCAAATTTCTTAACCTTATAAAAAATAATAAATTAATATTATTAATGCTAACTTGCTAACTTTTTACTCATGCTAACTAATTAATTTATTAATTCTAATTCTAATATATTAACTTTATTAGTGCTGTTTTTTAAAACTGCTTTAAAACTTTCATGCGAATACTAACTTTACTAATGCTAACTCATGTATTAATGCTAACTTTATTAATGCAAATTTAACTTTAATAATACCTGCCTACTGACTTCATTATTACTATTTTATTTACTTTATTTATAATTTTTCTTTATTAATGCTACCTAATTAACATTATTAATGCTAGCTTACTAGCTTCCTTAATGCTAACGTGCAAGCTAAATTATTGCTAACTTGCTAACTTTATTCAAGCTAAGTTAACTTTATTAATGTTTAATACTACTTATTTTTCTTTGTTCAGACTTCTTAACCTCACAAATAAGAGCTTGTTAATATCATTAATGGTCACTTACTAACTTAATGCTAACTTGCTATCTTATTTCTTTTACTCATGCCAACTCGTCAGTTTTATTATTTCTAATTTATTAACTTTAGTGCAATAATTTAAACTTCAAACTTTCATGCAAACATTATCTTTACTAATGCTAACTTATGGGATGCAGATTTAACTTTAATAATACCTGCCTACTGACTTCATTAATATTATTTTACTAATTTCAAATATAACTTATTTTGACTTTTCATGCTACCTAATTAGCTCTGGTCATGCTAGCTTACTAGCCTCACTAATGCTAATGTACAAGGTTTATTAATGCTAACTTGCTAAATTTATTCAAGCTAACTTAACTTTATTAATGCTAACTTATTTTGTTTGTTCAAACTTCTTAACCTTATTAATGCTAATGTACAAGCTAAATTAATGCTAACTTGCTAACTTCATTCAAGCTAAGTTAACTTTATTAATGTTTATTAATACTTGTTTTTCTTTGTTAAAACCTCTTAACCGCACAAATAATAACTTACGAATATCATTAATCCTAACTTGCTAATTTCATTAATGGTCACTTATTAAATTAATGCTAACTTGCTAACTAAATTTGTTGTACTCATGCTAACTCATTAATTTTATTAATTCTAATTTATTAACTTTATTATAGCTGTTTTTTAAAAAACTTCAAACTTTCATGCGAACATTAACTTTACTAATGCTAACTTATAAAATTTATTAATGCAAATTTAACTTTAATAATGCCTACTAAATTTAATAATGCTATTTTATTAACTTCATTAAAGCTAACTTATTTTTCTTTATTCATTCTACTTAATTAACTTTATTAATGCTTTTTAATGTAAATAATGTGAATTAAAATGTCATCTGATGTAGTGATAGAATCATGTGTTCTGAAAATATTGTGATTTCTCCCAGAACTGCCTTTTTTCTGCACTGGGGGCATACACAGATGGATGTTTGTGTAAAGGGGGGCTGTGGGGGTCTTCAGAAATTAACAATATTCCTTCTCTCTCACCCCCCCAACCCCCTCCCCCTACCCTCACATGCACATAAGTGACTGTATTAAAGTCCAGTCCCCGTCTCAGAGCTGCAGAAGGGTTTTACTTTACTTTGGTGGAACTGCAGGGTTAATAAAAGCTCTACTCACTCTTAATCCAGCAACTTACAGTTGGGGGGGGCTTAGTAGTGTGTGTGTGTGTGTGTGTGTGTGTGTTTGTTTGTGTGTGTGTGTGTGTGTGTTTGTTTGTGTGTGTGTGTGTGTGTGTGTGTGTGTGTGTGTGTGTGTCCATCTGTCTGCTCTGGTGGCCTGGATTAGCTCTGTGAAAAATAATCGCAGTTCCACTAAACTGACCCCATACTTGTTGGTTTTGAGGGTGAGCTGGGTGAGAGATCGTCAACATCCATGGTGTCTGCGGATCTTTAAAGGGGAACTCCACCAATTTTTCAACATTTCCACAGGATTCAGTGTGTGAGATGTAATCAGAGAGATTCAGAGTGGTTTGGTGTGAAATGGTTCAGATGTCTTTACAGTGGTGGTGATAGGAACCAGGGGTCGCCATGACTACAACACAAATATAGACATTTTATTTACTATCCAGAACCACCAGTGAACCTACACGAGTCTTCTGAGTTTATATGGAATGTTGATGATGGAAAATAGTGAAAAATCTGAAATAAGAAGTTTTCTTTGGGGACTATTTTGCCTCGCAACATCCTGCATGTATCCCTCCACCATGAATGGATTTAAAAATACATTTTAGACCCAAAATCTTCTCAAAACTATCATAAAACGATATCAGGCCAGTGGCATTCAGCTCATGCGGCGACACTTGTTTTGGTTTTTCTTAGCGAGTTTTAGGCTGATCAACATTTCAGTCGTGTAATGTGGGTTTCTGATAAGTGTGTGATAGATTTGTGTTGGACTAACATTATATTTGAAGCTTTAGGCTAAAACAGACTTTGGTTTGGACGCATATAGAGATTCACAGGCTAAATATTACTTGAACTGTAGCTGATGTGACCTGGGTTAACTAACAGGTTATGTAGACATATATAGCTCAATACCTTCCCCTTAATACGGGGCTTCATGTGTACATTTACTTTACATGAGCAGGAATAACACTTTACCTCAAGCAGCTTAAACTGAGCATCATATTAAGCTTTAGGCTAAAAAACCCACAGAACCCAGTAAGTGTTTCTTTTGGTTTCTGATGGTTTTGTAATGTGTTTTGTTGTATAGTTTAACTGGTTATCAGTGGTTGATGCGTATATTGGTGACAGTCTCCCTTCCTGAATGGTAACGTTCATGGTGACACATACAACCAGCACAAACAGTGACTGTTTACATCAGAGACGCTGTAAATGGGGAGACCGGCCACTGGCTGAAATATGAATGTGACGCTCGTAACTTTCCTATAAGGTCTTTGTTTACATGGCACAGTCGCACCGTCCTACTGCGCATGTGCTCCACTGGCCTGAAACAGACGGAGTGAAACTGCGGGTGTGAATCTGCAGCTCTGCAGTCAAACCCTTCTCCAGACATCAGGCAGTGAATTCATAACCATTTATTCATGTAGGAACTTTCTGTGAGGGAGCTTTTAGAGGTGGAAGTCTGGTTCCTATCACCACCACTGTGAACGATTCTGACTCGGTAAGTTTATCTAGAACAGAGCGTTTCACAACAAACCACTCTGAACCACTCTTAAGCATTTAATTATGCAGAAATTTAAAAAATGAGTTGAGTTCCCCTTTAAAAGGCTTAATTGTTCTGAAATGACATTTGACAGTTAGAAGCCTCAGCAGGCTGTCTGTCTCCTATAGACGCTGTATATGAGCGCATGTGTTTCTTTCTTTTCTCCCAATAATAGGAAGAGCTGTTTATCAATATTAGAGAAATGGATCAATCAGGGATGTATAATCGCACGCTTTCTCTCTCTCTCTCTCCTCTCTCTCTCTCTCTCTCTCACTGTTTTCTCTCTCTCTCTTCTTTCTCTCTCTTCTCCTCTTTTCTCTCTCTTCTCCTCTTCTCTCCCTCTTTCTCTCTCTCTCTCCCTCTTTCTCTCTCTCTCTCTCCTTTATCCCTTTCTTCTTCCTCTTCTTTCTCTCTCCTCTTCTTTCTCTCCCTCTTTCTCTTTCTCTCTGTCTCTCTCACTGTTTTCTCTCTCTTCTTTATCTCTCTTCTTCCTCTTCTTTCTCTCTCTTCTCCTCTCCCTCTTTCTCATTCTCTCTCTCTCACCCTCCCTCTCTCGCTGTTTTCTCTCTTCTTTATCTCTTTCTTCTTCCTCTTCTTTCTCTCTCTTCTCTTCTCTCCCCCTTTCTCTCTCTCTCTCTCTCACTGTTTTCTCTCTCTCTCCTTTATCTCTTTCTTCTTCCTCTTCTTTCTCTCTCTTCTTCTCTCCCCCTCTCTCTCTCTCTCTCTCTCTCTCTCTCTCTCTCTCTCTCTCTCTCTCTCTCTCAGATCCTCTGGAGGTTCTCCGGGCTATGAGGGACTATGTAAGCAGTTTTTTCGGCTGTCGGCCGTGTGCCTCTCACTTTGCGAGCATGGCGCGGGACCTTTCAAGTCATTCGATGACCACGCCGTCCGCCGCCGTCCTGTGGCTGTGGACTCAACATAACAGGGTCAACCGCCGCCTGGCAGGTGAGTCCCACCCAGAGAGAACGTCATCACCTCTGTGAGGTGTAAACCTCCTTTAACCTCCTGAACGGCACGCTTACTGCTCGGTAATATTAAAGGGCCCATTTAACGGAAAACCAGATTTTAGGGTTGAACCATGTGACTTTTATTCATGTAGAACCGACACATTTGAATCAGGTAAAGTCAGAGCACTGTTTTCAGTGGTTCTTCGAGGGTTCTTCAAAAACCACTGTAAATAAAGTTCTTAGAAAAGGTCCTTTGCATGACGCCACTGGTCCACTAAAGAATGTTGTTTAAAACAGATATTTGTGAGGGTGAAGAACCTTTCAAAGGGTTTATACTAGAACTTTTACGCTTCGTTAAGGTTCTTTAAACTTTGAAAGCTTCTTTAAACTAAACGTCTCATTTTAAAAAATGGTTCTCCGAAGGGCAATTCATTGAAAAGTTTTAGGGAACCCAAAGTGGTTATTGTGCGCTCTTAAAATATGTGGTTCTTCTATATGGTTCTATTTAGAACCATAAATTCTCAAAGAATGATTTGCATGCTTAAATGGTTCTTTGCAGAGTGAAATCGTTCTTCAGATTGAGAATATGTTGTATATGGTTCTGTATGGCACCAAAGTGTTCCTTCTATTGTATTCCTCTAAGTTTGACAGCATAACAATATCAGAACCCTTTTTGGTGCTACATAGAACCATATACAACACATTCTCCATCAGTCTGAAGAACCACTTCACAATGCAAAGAACCCTTTAAGAATGCAGATGGTTCTTTGAGTGTCCATGGTTCTGTGTAGAACCATTGTCTTTGCTGAAGAATCCTTGCAGAACCTTCTTTTTTTTTTCAGCGTGTAAATCCGCCTATTCAGTCTACAGCAGTTTAGCTCCGCCCACTCACACTGAAGTCATAAAGAGTGTTTCCACCTGGACAGTTTTTTGAAGGAGGCACAATACAGGGCAGCCAATCAGAACAGAGCTCGTTTGCATGTCCGTCTTAAAGGCACAGTAACAAAAAACAGCCTGTTAATAGAATTGAATGAACAGTTGTTGTTACTGTGCCTTTAAGACACAGTAAATGCGTTGGATTTTGTGACATCATAAAAACGACAAATTCAAAATGGCTTGTTTTTGTATTTCGGTTTTCATATAGACTGGAATGGTACATTTCGAAGTTTTTACAGTGTTTATATACTACATCAGACTTTTATTAAAAAAAAACTAATTAGGAAAAGTAGTTTTTCCAGGGTATGGGCCCTTTAAGGCATATTATTCTGTATCTACTATGAATTATTCAGGGACTATTTAAGCAATGATATCATGAATAACATCAGGACCTCGAGTGTTTAATAGACCAGTAAACCGTGAGAGGCTGTGCATTACTGCCATTTTATCACAGGAAGGGTGTTCTTAGGCACGACGCGAAGCGGAGTAACGCACGGCCTCAAGTGGCTTATTGCTTTTATAAAACGGCAGCCAACGTAAAATATGATACGATACATAATTTTTCAGAAAATAAATTAAATTATTATTAATTATATTCGACATAAGTATTCTAACAAGAAATGTAGTTCCTTTAACGTATAGTATCGTTTCCAAGCAAATTGCGGTCATTTCATGAACTTTTAAACTTTTTGTCGTATAACAGTGAACATATGATAACACGGCACTGTTTAATAGAACCTTCGCTTTATAAGTACTTTTTGGTCACCAAATTACCACCACGAGTCTTATTTAGCACCATCCAGCGGCGCCCTCGTCTCAAGTCTCAAACGGCTCCCTGCTCCCTACATAGTACACTACATAGGAGTTTAAATACTGGATCCTGCAGCCCAACAGAGCAAAATACAGCTAAGAAACAGTCATTTGGGACTCAGACTCATCCACACTCGATAAATGATGCACTGTTTGACTGTAGAGGCTAGAATTCCTAAACTTCCATAGCTAGAACACTATTTAGGGAGTACGGCGCCGTTTGGGATTCAGCCTGGGTTTGACATGACTTCTGACTGAAACAGGGACATTTGAAGTGTGTAAGACATTTAAGTGATGTTATTTAGTCTTTTATACTGCAGTTTTACAGTTAATCACACTGTAAGTGCTTTAATTCCAGCCTGTGATATTAATGATAGAGGTATTTAGGCTGTTGGCTCTTTTAGCCAGTTAGCTAGCTGACCAGCCTGGTTCTAGTTAAGAACATAAGTTATCAGCCCCTCAGTTTAAACAACAAAACGGGTTCTTTCTTCATCAGTACACTCGGTGCCTCATGCGAGCAGCATTAGTCAAAGATTATTTGTGTCGGTTCTTCATGTTGTGGCGCAGTGATACAGAGTTCAGTCGCTGTGAGATGGTCATAGGTGTATATTGTGGATTTTACAATGGCTTTGAATGCGGCTCAGCCAATCAGATTTTAGGACCGGAACTATCCGTTTCGTAATTGTTTTTCTCCAACGGTTCTGCAAAATTAACAAAAACATTAAGCAAAAAAGCTCAGATGTGCTTTAATATTGACAGTTTATCATTACAGAGGCGTAAAACTGTGAATCAGGCTGAGCTCCGATTTTTCAGTGTCTCCAGATGAAGCTGTCTGTGTTTTTGTTCAGTCTGTCTGTAAAGTGAATCACAGCGTTTTTCCTGTCTGCTCTGTTGGTTTCTGGCTGATTTCAGTTTAAGTTGTTTAGTTTGTTTAGATCCTCATTTAGGGTCAACGACAGGTTTGGAATTTGATGTAGTGTCTTCTTCACAGTCTGCCCAAACGGCCTGCAGGTCAGATATTATGTAAAGTGTCCTTTTTCTGTTTTTGTATGTGCTAAATCGTTAACTCGTACGGGTGGTCAGTGATCCGGATTTGTCGGAATGCGTGCTCCTGGATCTGAGTCACACCCTGTTTCCTGCTTTTGCTCCAGTGTTTTTGCTCTGTTGTTCCTGTGCAGGTCAGAGAGACGAGCTTCGGCCTGCTGACCGTTTCTCTTCCCACAGCGCCGCTAAATAAATCCCTTTAATTTGGTGATCCTCTGGGCAGACACCAGCTGTCCCACACCGGCCCTCTGATTCTCCTCTGCCCACACTCGTCCTCTGTCTCTTCTTCTTGTCCTCTGTCTCTTCTTCTTTTCCTCTGTCTCGTCCTCTTTTCCTCTGTCTCGTCCTCTGTCTCGTCCTCTGTCTCTTCTTCTTTTCCTCTGTCTCGTCCTCTGTCTCTTCTTCTTTTCCTCTGTCTCGTCCTCTTTTCCTCTGTCTCGTCCTCTGTCTCTTCTTCTTTTCCTCTTTTCCTCTATTCCCTTCTCTATCTCTTCCGCTATCTCTTCTGTCTCTTCCTCTGTCTCTTCCACTATCTCTTCCTTTGTCTCTTGCTCTTTTCCTCTATTCCCTTCTCTATCTCTTCTTCCTTTCCTCTATCTCTTCCTCTATTTCTTCTGTCTCCTCCTCTGTCTCCTCCTCCTCTGTCTTTTCTTCCTCTTTTCCTCTATCTCTTTCTCTTTCTCTTCCTTTGTTTCTTGCTCTATCTCTTCCTCTTTTCCTCTATCTCTTCCTGTCTCTTCCGTCTCTTCTTCTATCTATTTCTCTCTCTTCTTCTATCTCTTCTGTCTCTTCCTCTATCTCTTCCTCTGTCTCTTCTTCTATCTATTTCTCTCTCTTCCTCTATCTCTTCCTTCGTCTCTTGCTGTATCACTTCCTCTTTTCCTCTTTTTCTTCCTCTTCTATCTTTTCCTCTAGCTCTTCCCCTGTCTCTTCCTCTGCCTCATCCTCTAACTCTTCCTCTATCTCTCCCTTTATCTCTTCTTCTGTCTCTTCCTTTATTTCTTCCTCCAACTTTTCCTCTCATTTTTCCATTAGCTGTTCCTCTCTCTGTTCCTCTTTTCCTCTGAATCGTCCTGTGGCTCTTAAATTACTGGTAAAATGACTGTCATATGTTGGTTGTTTCACAAGTGCATGATGCGCTGATGAGCACTGAACACCCATCGCATGTTCACAGCCAAAAACATCAAAAAGGTGTTTGTTGGCGCGAGGCGCGGTTACTAACAGCTTTTATTTATTTATTTATTTTTAGAGCAGTTTGAAAAAAAAACGCTCCAGCTTTAAAGTTCGTCAGTTTTACCCTGGAGCTGGGCTGGATGAGCGGACAGTTTATCTAGGAGAGGAAAATTCATCTCATTCATTTCATTCAAAAATTAATCACATTTATTTTGGCGTTAAGTCACATTATATAAAATCTTTTATTTTGGCAGTAAGTGTGCTTGTAAATTCACCATAAATCATTGTAATAAGTACAAATGAAGGTAAATACCGTAAAACGTAACAAGAATTTCTTATTTTGACACAACCAGATGATATCTGTCTGAAAATGGTTAAACAGACACATTAACATATATAAAATATAGCGCTGACTGATTTGCTGAGAAGATCTAATTGCGATGTTTTGTCCTATGTTGCGATTTAAATGTAGTTATTTTCCATAAAATTAATTTCCATGCTTGTTTTTTTGGCCCAGAAGACCAGAATATCCACTTTTTCTAGCGTGAAGCTTGAACGTTGGCCTGATCTACCATTTAGTTGTGGTTTAGTTTTGGTCACATATGGCAGTTGGTTTGGGAAACTCATCAACAGATGAATCATACAGAGCTTGTGAACTGTGATTAGATTAAATTTACACATTTAAAACTTAAGGTAACATTATTATAACTATCTTAACAGGTTTATATAATTTATAATAAATATTGCAGCTCTCGCAATTTGAAAGTTGCACTGAAATTTCAAATTGTGATTTCGGTATAAAAATGATTATCTATTCCTAATAAAATCACTAGTTATTGTATTAATATTATTTGTATTTATTGTAATAAAAGTCTTGTAAGCAAATAAATGCCTACAGCTTTGTTAATTAAAAATTTCTCAGGTACAGAACTGTGTATTATATATATTTTTCTAGTTTTTGCTTTTATTTAGCTCCAGCATGTATTGATTATGGTGACAATACCAAATTAGGCTGACTTTATTTTTGCTAATGCT